CAATTGAGATATTCAACTTTTCCACTTGTTTCCACCTCGCCGACCATAGGTACAGTTGTAGTCTTGTGGTGGCTTACAAGCTGCGTCGCCGCTGGAGCAATGCCCTCGTGGACTACATGGTCACCTTGACGCCTGGTGAAAGCCCTCGCGGTGGTTTCCTCAATTGGGTGACCTCTGAAAGCTTAAGGGACAGTTTCTCATGGCACCTCATGGGACAGTTTCGCATGATCGTTCCATGAGACTTCATGAGTTTTGAGCTGCGGAAAAAATACCGCATGTCCAATTTATACATCACATACTACATATATATACAGCATATACACAAGCATATACAACTTATCTCAGTTTTGAGTCTTGAGTGATTTGTTGAGTAGAAACTACATCACACAACATGGTTTGTTCATTGTCCATTCCTGTGTTGGATTTGGTCAGCTGAGCAACCGCTATGTCGAGAAAAGCGCTCGCATCAGTTCCCTAGGCCTCCGAACGCCCATATCCTCAGGTTCGGTGGGCACAGACCCCCTAGACCACCCACCCTAACTACTGTAGGCAGTTGGAGCCCTATAGGGGTTGTGATGCTCGCGCGCTGTGGGGTCGCCTCGAAGCTCCACGGTCGCGCGTCGCGTTGCGGTCAGAGGAGACCGTCGGCTGGGTGACGCAGTGACGCGTCGTGAGGGGTGGGGGGGCGATTTCCGGCGCAGCTGCGGATGGCAGTTGAAATCACCCATTTGATGGGTGCATGTGTATTGTGTAAAATGGGGAGACCTCCCAGTGCGTATTAAAATTGGGAGACCTGTTAGACCAAAACCCCATCTTGAGTTCATGAAGTTCTACTTTCGGAAAGCAGGTTTTCTCGACGGCCGCTTTGGGGTACGAAGCATGTAATCGACCTGAGTGAAACTGGCGTACTGACCATCAAGCAAGTCCCGATTTGGAGAGAAGAAGGACCTTACCCCTACTCAGTCAGTGGATCACATGCAAAACCTTTTGGAGGGAGAGTGAGTGTGAGTGAGAGTGCGAGAGTGAGTGAGTGAGTGAGTGAGAGTGTGAGTGCGAGTGTGAGTGTGAGTGAGTGATTGAGAACACCCCACAAAAAACGAACAGGTGGAACATTTGGTTAACCATGCTTAATCATTATTTTCCAGGGAAACTGCTTGGGAGTCAGTTAAGCATCCACCATTGGGAAGTACTGTCGGTCTTTGGAAAGTTTTCCAGCTCATGTTGGCCCTGACTAGCCGCAGCTAGCCAAGCTGAGCTGCAGATGTCCTACCCAGTCAGTGGATAACCTCTACGCTTTTTTTGGGGGGTTGTTGACACCCCACGAATCATGAAGGTTGACCTTTCTTTTCCAGGGAAACTAAGAAGCAGGACCCCTGCAAGCTTGATGTTTTTCGCAGGACCTCTACCAGCGGTTGTTTTCGACTGGTGCCCAAGCCGGAAGTCCAGGATGGGCGGCTTCCTCATCCTCCTGATCGGCTTATCCATCAGCGCCCTGCGGGACATCATTTGCTCAAGGCCTCCTGGTGCTCCCACGATCAGATTCGTTGGAGAGGTGGAGAAAAGAAGAAGAGATACCGGGACCTGGGGTATCGGGATACCCTCCTGAATATGTCACTAGTTATGTCACTAGAAAATATCATGTTCCCTTTGTAAACTGGAAAAAAATGCAACCCAAGCAGATATTACACCGGTATTCTGTGGGAAAAGATCATATTTTTGGGGTTCTTCAACCTTTGGAAGGCACGGAAGTGTGACAGAAGTGTGGACCTTGGTGGCTTTGATCTACATCTTTTTAGCCCGAAAGCTCGGAGGGTCACCTGCCCAAGCGTTTTGTTGGGAATTGGAGACACCCCATTCAACAAGGACAGGTTGAGAGGGTTCCCTGCATCCCCCGAGACTGACATATACCTACCTATCTCAAATGTGTTTTGTGTTTGTTTTTTCTGAGTACTTGACTCAATGTACCTAGAAACTCAGTCCCCAGAAACAACAGGTTCTGGCGCCAGCTTGAGATCCGCCATACCGTGCCAACAAAGGGGTGTTTTGTTTATCCCATCCAGTGAGTGGATACTCACCCCTAACCTCCATGGATCGCACCCCTTTGAAACTCTATGTCTTTCTGGCTCTTGTAATGAAGGCTCAACTGGTGTTCCATTGATATTTATACTTATATATTGAATTATTGTTGTTGTTATTTGTTTAAAGGCCACTCCCGAAAATTAAATGGTGACGATGGCACCAATTCAAGGTTTTTCATCTACAATAGATGGGGGCTGCGGGGTCGAATCTGGACCTTGGGGATTGTGCCATCTACTGTCCACTCAGAGTCCAAAAGGAAGAATGGTCACGGTGGGCCATGGGATCGCCTCCTAGCCTTGGCGCTACCGTCTACCGTGCTACCGTGGAAAAAGCGTCAAGTACCAGCACCCGACTTCACAGGTCTCCGAAATGGAGGGTTGTTAGGCCCTAACAGGTTTTCATTGGTGACCTGTGAAGTCGGGTGCTGGTAGAGGATTATCTCCTTCCGCACCCGAGAAGTTCATCGAAGCGATCCCACCTTCGAAGCTGACCTCTGGCCCCCAAAAGGCCACGAGTCGAGTATGCGGTTGTGTCCAAAGTCCGAGCGGTAGAGAAGATCAGAGGCACTTAGTGTGAACAAATCGTGCCCAGCAAAAAAAATGAACATCCAAGAACATCCTGCCATTTGTCACACCAGTGGGTTGTTGATTTCTCTTTGGTTCCTGTGAACCTCAGGCTTGTGGGGGATCTTCTTCTTGGGATGTGCATTTGGGCGCTGTGTGTCATTGCCTTGGGCATTCTGGTTGCATGGGCGTGGTGGAAGAAAGAGCATGGACTGCTCGTGCATGAGACGAAGGCATCCTGAGGATGTTTGTGTCCAGGATTGGAGATTCGATGGACATGTCTCCACGGCGTAACAACAGCCCACGGTGATTCTTGGATTGGAGAACGGGTGGATTTGTGCTTTGTCCTGATGGGGTGAATCCCCGGTATATGTGATTGTTTGCTGAGTCGCACAGCGAATTCAAGCAATGGTTCAGTGGTCTTGCAGAGGGAGCTTATTCAAGATTACCGCTGCCGCTTAGTAAACCATGGTCGAAGTACATTTGGCTGCAATCAGCGCAAAAACATGGCGCTGTTGCTGCCGGTCTTTCGAATCTGCCATTGCCGGTCTTTCGAAGGTCTCGAATGAGTCTTCCTCCGGTTTCAGAGTATGTATTTGAGAAACGCCGAACAAACCATATTACATAATATGGTCATTATTTGGACATCATCAATGAACCTTTCAGCTGGACAACCTTATGTTCGCCCCACCATATAACTTTCTTTCAGAATTATTTTGGCTTTGGGTGATTGAAGCTGGAAGAGTCAAAGCCCAATGTTTAATGTTTGCACAGCTGCTGGAGTCCATCACTTTTTTCAGACGGTTTTGGGGTTGGAACCTATGATGGCAAATTGCATCTGGTTTAATTGATTTCACCTTTAAGGTGGATTTGTGTGAGTTCTCATTTGAAAGTTGTTTTGAGTGGGTTCTACTCTGAAATCACCGGACATGCTGTGGCAGGGACCCAAGGCTTTGAGTTTGAAAGCATTTTTTTGGTGACACGGTGCGAGGACAGGCTCAGAAAAACGTGAGAATAGGCCATTTAACAAGCCCAGACCATCCATGGGACCGGTATATGCATACATTGACCCCTCCAAAAAAAAACCCTCCATGTAAGCCAAAATAGATAGGCCATCCATGGAGTGTTTATGGAGTCTTTGGGAAGTATGTTCTTTTTCACGTTTGACCAGTCAAGGCTTCGGATCCGCTTCGGCTTCTTTATTCATATCGACCCTCTGGGGCGTTTGACCCGCGTCGTTTGGACACCCCAGACCCATCCTCAAGACCTGAAGACCTGAAGAGGAAGAAAGGAATTGACCTTCCCATCCTCTTCAAATTCTATAGGTCAGGAAGATCCTCTAAATTCTATACCCCTCGATCCGGAGGATCTTTCTTTCATGTATTTTCCTCGCGACCGTGAAAACCGACCGCATCCGACCCCGAAGAAGTGCACGACTGTGGATGAGCCTGTACTCCGCTTGAGCCCATGTTCGCACTGCAACCGAGCTCGTTTTTCCGTGTACCGATGGTGCAACAGTTGCTTATACGCAGAACTTGGATGCCAAAAAGACGCCGTGGCCAGGGGGGAAACGAACGAAACAAAAGCTGAGTGGAGAATTCCTGGAGTTGGATTCTTTTGGCTAAGACGTGCTGCGGAGTCCAAAGACGTTATCACGGAATACCTGGGTTTTGCCTTGGTTTCACAGGACGTGAACGAATTCCCCATGGAACCCAGGGGGAACGAAGAAGACCGAAGTCTCGCCATTGAGAGGTTTCAGTGACACAGCTGAAAACCTGAGGAGACCCAAAGAAAGGAACCTGAAGAACCATAAGAACCTGAATGATCTATTAAATCAATCACACGTCCTTCGTAGAGGGACACGGACACCAGCAATTCTGCCTCTCATGTTCTACTGTCAATAGTGATGCGTTGTCGCAGCAGCGACGTGTTAGGAAGACAGGTCTGCCAGGTAAATGGCCTCATGGATTTGGCTCAACGATCTCCCAAAGTGGCTTGGTCGCCCACCAGCAACCGATTGGGTCCAATGGCTTCAAAAAGCTCAAACACTTCATGTTCTTACACACACCCCTGTAGGTCAGTATGGCAATCAAGGTTTCGTTGACTCTGACGATGTGACACTTAGTCGCTACACATCATGATTGGCTTCCTGCATCCGCCGACAGGGTTAGACGGTCTTCACCGTTGACCACGCACGACCTCATCTAACCACCGATCCCGGTAGTGTCGGCAGTAGCATAACACCCAGACAGGAGGCTTCCGTTCATCTTCGTTCCATTCAGAACTCCGACCACCGATCGCAGATTCCATCTCCCAGTCCATCTCCCGAAGCCGCACACAACTGGCCCTCTTGCACAGGTCAGTGTCCTCTCCACGTGCCTTGGAGTGTGGTGATGGGCAGACCCTCCCGGTGCACCCGAAGAGACGCAGAGGCCCGAAGCTCCCCCCTCAAGAGCTCGATGCACCCGAAGATCCGGCTTCGATCATTTGGAGCTGGTCCAGCCCATCCAAGGTGAGCATATCCAAGGGTTGTGATTCTACACTTACAATGCTAGAAACTCATGATATGAAGTTCTATAGTTCCCTGAACATTCAGTCTACTTTTGAGATCTTTGGAGAATCGAAGAGGCTAAACCTTTGGAGGGGTCCAACGATTAGCAGCAGGGTGGCAATTGTTGGCCCTGCTCCTCTCAAGGTGAGGCCTTGAGGGTTTCTAGAAATAGATGTTTCATCCAGCTGGATGAGTTTGGCACTCATACCTTTTCGATTCTGGTTCCAGTTCCAGTACCTGTTTGTTAGATCTTTTGGAGCACCCGAAGACTCCAAACTCAGCCGAGCAGTTGAGACTTGGTCAGCTCACGGAATACTCAGCAGACATCGCTCCAGGAATGGTGTGGAGTTCAACTCCGGCGCGAGTTCACCCGGATCTCATGTTGAATGTTTTTGGCATTTTTCAGGGTGACCCGCGTTCACTGCACAACAAAAGACAAATGCGGACAAGCTTTACATTACAGGCTTTACAGTGTATTTACCTATTCATTTGCAGACTTTACACTCTTGCAGTTGGGATTCCCTATTGAATTCCCAAATTGTTGATTGAAGCAGTGACCGTCTGAATTCCCGAAGATCGACCGCAAAGGTGCTCAGAACAGCTGCAGAAACTCAGAAACTCAAAAGGACGAGCACCGAAGCCAAATGGAGGTGTTCTTAGTTGTTTCATTTGTGCAGATTCTGGACTGTTGACACCATTGCTGGGGGGAGAATCGTGAAAACGTTCGTTCGTTCGGTTCATTTAGTTAAGATGTCTTTGGATGTCTTTGGCATATTCCGTTGGTATGCACCATTCACGACTGGCTCGAGTGGTATTGCGGCTTTGCTCACCAGCCAGATTTGAGCCAGGAGTTCTGAGTTCTGGCTGGCTCGGCCCTTTTTCGTTTCGTCCAAGGACGATGACCCACCGGATCAATGATTCTCGGAAGAGGATAGAACGGGGGATGAAGGTCTGTGGCTCAGGGCTTGCAACATGGCTAGAGATGGTGTCATGTCTGAAGTGACTCTTGGGGCTGAGTAGACCTTATTTTGGCTATAGCTCAAAAGTCTCTTATGATGACCACTGAAAATGCTCTGAAGTGGCAGGGTATCTTATGTGGAATTGTAATGTTGCGTTAGAGTAGTGCAGTTTCAGCATCAATAGTAAAGTGATGCTGAAAATGCTACTGATGCAAATATGCATCATCGACATCGTGTGTATATATATATATACATGCATGCACGCACTCTCAACTACTTACTTGTATGACGTGTTATGCATAAGACATTTGTTTCACCTAAATAGGACACATGTTCTCCCAAAATGTACTTGCAACATCTTGCAACATGTTCTTTCCGACGTTTGTTAGATTTAGTCTCCTAAGGCAAAGTTGTGCCTTGTTGCCATTGCCACAAACTTTCTTAACTTTGCCATCGTGTCTCCAGATTGAGCTACCTACACGATGCCAGCAGTTCATCCATAGAGTTCCACATGGTTCATGCCGGCTCATGGTCGCCATCCGGTTTGCCGAAGACCATCCACCTACCCAGTCAGTGGATCACCTTTAACTGCTAACCTTTTCACAACTAACCTCTTTGGGGAGATTGGGGACACCCCACTCAACGTTCCAAGAGGTGGAGCGCCTTCGGTTCTGTTCAGCTTGTCCCTTTTTCCAGTGAACGATCGATGTAGTGCTCCGGGAGTACACCAGGATGCCGTCACAGATGACTCCTGCCTCCAGCGCTTTGTTTGCGTCCCTCAGAGCCCGGTGTGCCTCGGACGGTGGGAAGGTCCCTGGGAAGGTCGTCCGGACCAAGACACCTGACTTGGCGCTGTCCATTTCAGGATCTTGGCCACCGAAATGCAACCAGGTTCGGTTTGAAGACGTCCATTTCTGGGAGACGCATCAAAAAGAACAAAAAACTGCATCAAACAAAAATCGTAATAGTGTATTGCATCAAACTAAAAACAAAGAATACATCAATCATCAACCCAAAAAACATAGAAAGAAACGAAGGAAGGAAGGCAGGAAGGAAGGAAGGCAGGATGGAAGAAAGGAAGGAGGGCAGGAAGGAAGGTTGGCTTTCGGTGTGTTTTGTTTTTTTGTGGACAAATGAGAGAGCCAGAGCCTGACCATTGTGGTTTCCACTGTGAAATTGAAATGCGATGTTGCCTTGCTAAACTTTGCCCAGATGCCCAGCGCAGCTATCAAAGGAAGATTCATTGGGAAACTCCATGAGATCTGTTTTTTGTCGTACCAAGTTACATTGCGGGGGAGGCTTTTGGCTTTTGTTGGCTTTGGCTTTCGGTGGCTTTGTACGAGTTTTGTATATAAATATAGGTTGATTTCCTGTGTTAGAATGGAATCTTGTTCTTCCCATGAAACGTTTGGATCCGTTTATATTATTTTTATTGTGTGATGCACTTTTGATTTTTCTTGATGCCCTGAAATAGTTTTGCCTTTTTTTCATTCATTTTTTTGTTGATCCCTCGTCCTCGATTTCTCGTTTGTTTGTTCCTTCCAAAAGGGTTTGAAACCTGGGAACTCCCCTCCCAGAAAACCAAAGGGGAATCCGACTTGTGGCTTTTTCCCCGAAGGGAGTCAGGCCGGATCACTCCTTCATCAGTGACCCCAGCCCGTTGCTGAAGCGAAAGCGAAACACGCCGCATCACACGCGGCTTAGCCATAACCATCCCAATGGGATTCTCTTTTAAAAGCCCACTCAACCCGGGGAAAATTGGCTCCTCAACTGTCCAAACTCTCCAAGAGGTGGAAGTTGTTTTTGAAGTGAATGTTTGGAACCTGGATTTTTCTCCGGACCGATTCGGCGACTGGGCGACTCCGTCCACATTGAGAACACCCTGCGACTCGCCCCCTTGAAAAAGGGGTTTTCATTCGCCCTCCGGTTCAGTTCCGGACATTTCCCCCTCCCTGTCACCAGACCGAAGACTGAACCGAGCCTGTCAACCGAAGGTCAGGAGCTTGGGGGTGTTTGACATCCTCCCCCACAAAGCTGATGGGTGCGACTGTTATTGGGAATGAGGGATGATGAGGGAATTCAACTCTCCATGATCCCTGCAATGATTCAGCCACCCTCATTCCTACACAGCAGTCAGAACCCTGAGAGGTACACGTACTAATGTGCACCCTGCGATGCCTTTCACAAGCAAGGAGGTTGGCACACTGCTCCAGAGTGTCACAACTCGTCCGAGGCTGCCGCATGTGTTGTTGCGTTCCAGTTGAAGAGGGATGTTCCTCCGAAAAGACCCACCTAGGCCTACCCAGGAAAAGTGGATCATTTGCACCTCACGGAAAGAAGGAACAGGCGGAACGTTCGGTTCACCTTGATTTTCCAGGGATCTCCCGCTGGGGAGTCAGTAGGGAGGATTCATATATGGAAGTCCATGGACTTAAAGGGGTTGATGCGATAAGAAGATGGACGAACTCCATTTAGATTTCTCATCTCTCAGTGGAATTATTAAACCCATAGATTCCTGATAGCACGAATGGCATGACTTTTGCAATGTTGGCTTGTGGTTCCAAAAAACGTGATGACGTTGTTGGTTGGAGTAGGGCCTGCCAAGGAAGACCAGGACCACTACTGTACACCTGCTGCAAGTGGCTTCCTGATGTTTCTTCCAACGCCAAGAGTCTTTCGTCCCGAGGCAGTTGACGTGGTCCTTCTTGGCCTCGATTTTCATCCTTTGGGATGTGCCGCCGGGCGTTTCAAGGTTTGGGACTCCATGTGGAGAGTGAAGGTCTAGCATTTTGAGGAGGAAAAAGCACAGATTATTCTGTTTGGAGTATACTTTACCTGTTTTTGCTGAGGATGGTTCTTTATTTATTAAATTGTGGATGAATCCACCAAAGTCGTTCTTTTTCCTCGGTTCCTGAATGGCGCAAGTCCAAGTTTAGTTTAGTTCAAGTGCCACCCAGTTCGGGTGGTTTATAGACCACCCTGAAGATGTATTTTCCATCCAAGAACCACCCGATAGGTGCTGCTGGCTTAAACATATTTATATATATAAACACTCTGACTCTTGTTTTCAAACCTCTCAACCCGTGTGTACCATCCTCGACCGGTTTTCGCTTCATGGGGCATAAATGCCGGCGTGGATGGACAAGCGCCTTCCGCGCGTGGAACAACGCGCAATATCCGGTCAACGAGGGGACGGGGATACCTATCAATAAAAAAACTATGTCTATCAAGAAACAACATGATTCCTATCAAACAAACATTAATTGAGAAGGACTGAACAAAGACATTTATCTCGAGAATGAAAAGACCTGGGGCAGCTCCTTGGCCAAATGCCAGCACCTTTCGATTCGACACAGTCATTTACCTTGGGGCAAAGGTTTCAAGGTGCTGTTGTGGTGCACTTCTTGCGACACGGGTAAAACAAACAAGGGAGGCTGGAAAGGCTATTCCTGGTACACACCTACAACGCACGAAGTTTGCAGGGAACTGCAAACGGGGACTTTACCGCCACAAGGGCGTGGAACCCACTGACTTCGACGGGCAGAACATGCTCTCAAAGCTTTCGTTGCGCACAACGCGCACTTCACCACTTAGCCTGAGTGGTTGAAAAGCATCAGACCCACGGCCGTCGGATACCCCAGCAGCATCAAATGAGTTGAAAGTCGCCCATGGATGCTACGATCCAGGTGCAACACTGTGGTCAGCTTTTGCAACCCAGCCTTGCTTAGCTTAACTTTGGATCAGCTTACCAACCGGGAGTATGTCAAACTGTGTGTGGCGACGGCACGTTCCGCTTCACGATGGGGGAATGGATTTGATATTTGTTGGTGTGCTCTTCAAACGCTACACCAAAGCAACTGGCCACTATGCTTTCAGAACAACCTTCCACCCACTCATTTTTGCTCCACAAACGGAGAACGCCAATCCGCCTACACTTCTCTGCTTCGTTCTCTTGTAAGCTGCAGCAATAAGTTTGCAGACTTGGATTTGGTCGAGAAACCAAGACAGGTTGTCAGACAACATAGATCGAGCCACGAGGCTTGAGGACACCTCATGACTTAGCTAAAGCTCAGTTTTACTTTGTCCGTGTCCCTGCAGTTGATGCCAAGACTCGGTTTGGAGTTTGCACGTGGCCTGGGGATCCTGAATCCCTGTACGTGCTGATTAGTGGTGTGGTGTTGAGAGAATTCAGCCAGGTTCGGCGAAGTATAGAGCCCACTACTCGGTACCAGCCGAATCGTCTCCCCAGGCTTTTTGGACAACAATTAGCCGACGTTCATCCGTTGGTCCCACCGACAGCAGGCGTCTTTGAGGTCAGGCTGGATTGGCATCATGTCCTGGACACGATGCACACTCCAATGAAGACTCCCACGCAGGCACTCACTGACCGAATCAAGATGCTGGAAGCTATCCCGGCTCGCGTCACCATTATCTCTTTTACAGTGGCCGGTGACCGGTACGACTCTGCATTCGCAGAGATCGACACGTTCTGGGATCAGTGTCGTGCTTCCGGATGCTCGCTTGGTGGTGGCTTTTATTTAGTCAACGAAAAGACCGGGTGTGGGGGCAAGGCCGAGCTCATCAGCAGATTGCGCAGGCCCAGGAGTCTTGGCGCCAGCACAAACTCAAAGCCTACTTAAATCTCCGCTCTGATTTCCCAACCTTTTGTTAACGCACCCCTGAGCATCGGCTATTGATACTAATCAATTAGTTCCAACACTTATTGATATTGATTTTAAATCATATTTCTTTGATTGATGCTGCAACATCCAAAATCATATTCAAGTTGACCTTCACAATCATTTCAAAAATGTCTATTTTGCCTTATAAAAAACAATTCAGAGAACAGCCAGCAGAAGCATAGCCAGGGTCCCATTTTCCAGCAGTTGGCTTCAAGGTTTAGGCTGCCTCTTCTTGGTTGGCTGCATCTCCTGATGCCTTTTGCACCTTCTCTGCCAAAGTGAGTTTCCCCAGTTTGTTCAAATCTTTTTTATTCAACATGCTTCATTAGATTCTGTTTCCTTACTGTCCTTCACCAAAAAAATATGTTGTTTCGTTTCCTCTTCCTTTTCCTTGTGCCCTTCCTTTTCCTCTTCCTTGTCTTTTTCCTTTTTTCTTTTTCCTTTTCTCTTCCTCTTGCTTTTCCTCTTTTCCTCTTCCTTTTCCTTTTCCTCTTCCTTTTCCTTTTCCTTTGCCTCTTTCTCTTCCTTTTCCTTTTCCTTGTCCTTTTCCTGTTCCTCTTCCTTTTCCTCTTCCTTTCCCTTTCCCTTTTCCTCTTCCTCGTCCTTTTCCTTTCTTTTCCTTTTACTGTTCCTTTTCCTTTTCCTCTTCCTTTTCATCTTCCTTTTCCTCTTCCTTTTCTTTTTGCCTTTTCCTCTTCCTTTCTTTCACTTTTTTTTGTCCTTTTGTTCTTGTCCTTTCCTCTTCCTTTTCCTTTTCTTCTTTCTCTTCTTGGCCTTTTGTGACACCCCCTTTTTGTCAAAAGGGATGTCTGCACATAGCTCTACGCCACTTGATCCAAAAAGTTCAATTAGGAAATCAATTGCAAAAAGCAATATTTTTTTGAAATTTTCACTTTTTTGAGGTTATTGAAAAATCAATATTTCAGATCAATATCAATATCAACTCAAAAACTTCCACTATTATTGATTAGAGTCAATAGCCGATGCTCAGGGGCTTAATAGAACACTATAGAAGATTTTATTCGCTCTCGCTTGCAGGACTTGGTTTCAAAAGCTCCCGGAAGTACCCTGTCAGCCTTTCCCAGACAAAGTCGTCTTGTATGATTCAGAGAGCCTGACAAAAGAGGGCCGCATGACAGCCTACCAATTCTACCGAACTCGTGCCTTTGATGTTTTCGAGCACGAGACAGAGAGGTGCAGCGTCCGAGAACGGTCTTAGCCAAGAGCCTGGCAGGCAGGGATTGTCATGGCCGAATCAACCGAGACCGAAGCACTTGAGACACATCTCAGTGCATCGCACACATCGCTCCTCAATGCTCAGTATCGGTTGCTTCGACCAGGTACCTTCCAGGAGGGACGCTTGTTGTCTCGGTGAAGCTGTTTCATGTTGCTGCTTTGCCTCCAGCTTCTTTTTTCTACTGCAAGCTCCACATCAGCCTTTGACAGGACATCTCGAGCGCTTCCAAGTGCTGCAAGAGCATCCTGGATATGTACCCGCGGCTGTGAATCCAACATGCTTTCAATGAAAGGGGCTGACGTATAGATGGCGCAAGTAAAAGTATGATAGCCGCCCGTGAGGTGTAGGGAGGGTGTGTAGAACATAAAGATGGCACACTGGCACACCATGTAGAATAACATGTGCCGAGAACATCTTGATGGCACATAAGTAGCATATGCAGGTTATGTATTGAGATTTGGCAAGGGAACAATCAAATGGGGATGGGAAGGGAGACGTGAAGGGGAGGAAGGGGGAGAACAGGGGAAAGAAGAGAGAGCAGACTAATTGGAAAATTCACAAGAGAGGAAACAGCAGAGCAAGGACATGAAAAGGACCTACGAGACAAAGGAAAGAGGAAGAGCAAAGCAGGAAGGCGAAGAAGGGGCTTCGGATGAGAGGTCGGAAAGACATAAAGGAAGGCAGAGGGCGAGTATAGAGGATAAGAGAGCAGGAAGCTGGAGAAGGGACCTCCTGTGATGCAAATTGGAGAGGGGACGGGGAAGGGTCAAGATGCTCTGATCATGGTTGCACACCAGCGGATCGTGAAACGGAGCCTGAACCTGGAGAGCGGGAGCTTCTTTTGGATGTCGCGAAAGACGCTACCTTGAACAGGGCCTTTTTGGCCACTGGTGCGTGGAACAACTGCGCAGTGGACCGCACAGGCCTTGGGGATGTAAAATCCAACGAATGGTGCCCGACCGTTGCTTCCAGGTCTCAGTAAGAAACGGTTCTGAGCAACTGTACAGTCAAACCTTCCGGTGGTCGACTCCAGATACTACGGATCAGGCCTTTGAACAAGTCTTGATAAGTCTAAATTCTACAACTCTTACCTGGCGTAAAGCAAAAAAAATACAAGTGCCGAACTTCAGATGACCAGGGTATGCTTAAGTTCCCCGATGTGTTTTTTGCATTTTTTGGCTACTTTCGGCCATAAATGTGCGGCACGGCGTGTGGCGTGTGCGCTGGCACGGCTAGTTGGGTCTACAAAAAGGTGTGGCACGGCGGGGGTCAAGTGCACTGGCCCGGCTAAGTCGGTTAAAGTAATCTGTGGCACGGCAGGTAGCGGCTACGCAGGCACGGCTAGATCAGATCGAATGAATCAGCGGCGCGGCGGGTGGCGTGCGCGCAGGCACGGCTAGACGGGTTTGGACACATCCACGGCACGGCGAGTGGCGTGCGCGCAAGCACGGCTATAGATGGGTTCGGGTACATTTACATGGTTTTCGTGCAACTGTACCCGGGTTTGCGCCGTTGATCCGTGCCCGCACTTTCCATGGTTTTGTGCCCTGATCCGTGGCTTCAAAATCTTGGTGCGGCAGGGTCCGTGCCACACAGCAAGCCACAGTCCGTGCGACTTATTGGGGGCGGGCGCTTGCTATCCTCAATCCGTGCCGTGGGTGATGCCAAGGGTCGTGGCCCCAAACCTGGGGGGGGTGTTAAGCATACCCCGGTCTATTTAATATAGAAGCACCTATTTAAGACATAGATAAACATACCTTAGCCAGTGCAGTCACAGCAACTTTCATGGCAGGCGCGGCATTGTCGTGAACGGATACTTTATGTTAACCATAAGTGATTTGTTTTGAGCGTTGTTTGATATAGTTTAGTTTTTCTTATCCCGCCCGTCAACATGACCCGGACCTTGGGATTCCTCCTGAGCCAACCGAATAGACACTGCAATGGCAGTGAGTCATCGCACCTAGGGCCCGGAACGAATTCCCTGGTAGGTTGACCTCCCCAGTAGTCTATTCGGCTATTCGGTTCATTTGTATGGTTCCGAATAGACTTCCAAAGCATGTGAGAGGCCAGTTCCTAGGATTTATATTTGTTTTGCTGTTTTGTTATGATTTTGATACTGTTGGAGGTTATGAACTTGATATGGTGTGAAACATGTGGCTACTGCCTTTGCCTGAAATGGCTGTGAATCATGGCACCTCCCCGGCCAAAGCATGGATGTTTGCATCCCTTCTATTTATAGGTATATATACAGTGACCTGTTCATTTTCAGGGTCAGGGTGCTTGGGTTTTGACCCACAGCCGAAGAATCATGACAGTGGAAAACCACCACTTTGGTGCTTGGACAATGGTCATCCTTTCACGGTCATGCCATCCATGTAAACCAGTGTAGTGCAAAGTGCAAATTTGTTTTTGGCACTCTAATCATTGTGATGGCGATACCCATCCATCCATCCATCCATCCATCCATCCGTCCATCCATCCATCCATCCATCATCATCATCATCCCGCAACCAATCAAACACTTCTCGGAACTGGGAGACCAACCTTGCGGACGTCACAAACAAAATTTGAACCCGGGGAAATGGCATGGTTCCAAATTGGTATTTGAAACGTATATGACTATATATGAATATAGAAATAATGACATATGACTCTGCCCAATCAACCTTGGAACCACTAGAAGAGTAACATGACCATCCAACAATACATCCATTGGCACCACACTCCTGACGCTCAACGGGAGGGGGTATGAAACCGCACCAAATGCAGCAAATCGAAGCACTACCCCCTCCAGAAAATCAAGCACATTCAGTTGATTTCAGTTTCGACGTTTCCCCAGGGGCAACGCCCTTCCGTTTGCCCACCGCGTCTTTGAACCCCATTGGCACCTTGGGTAAAATGCCCGCTGCTCAATGTCCCTAAGGATTACTATGCCCTTGGAAATGTTCGGCGTCCCTTGGTTGATGGACATGCTCCTCGGATGGCAACGACTATGGATCCCTCACCCTGGTTTTTTATTACACAGTGACATGACTTAGTAGACTTCATCCTGCACTCTGGTTTCTATGATTTAATTATATACAGTGGATCATCGGATATTGACTTGTATACCTGGGATCCGCTGCAGGCTGGACGTGGCGAGTTGGGTGACTTTCAGCTTTTGGACGATTGATACTCGCAGTCGAGAGGGATGGACGCGAGGCATGGACGAGCGCAGGCCCTGTGCCCGCTTCGGACGAATGGAAGGATGGAAAATACACAGACTGATGGTGTCCTGTTTGGATAGGAAAGGACGCCTGTTTTGGGACAGTGAAAACAGGTTCTTATAGGTATCTATGTATAATGTATTCTGGCGCTAGGGGATCCGTGGTGAGCGCGAGAGGCAGAGCAGGTCCTGGGTTGTCTTGTTGTTTTGAAATTGTTCTATATATCACGTTCTGTCTATATATATAGTAAATTGTTGTATCTTGGCATGTTTCATTGTATTCTTGTATCACTCCTGGATCTAAAGAAGCTAATGCAAATTCATCAATGAAGCCACCCTGGGTGTCTGTTGGACTGCCCGGGTGACTGGAAACATGAGGGATCCTTCTGAGAAGCCTACGTATGGTATATTTATTTACATTGTGGTGGTTCCGGGCTTCAATGCAATGTAAACCTTCTATAACAACCGCCTTTCAAAGCTAACCGCCTTTCAAAACACCTTCTAGCGCATGTTGTTTAGCAATTAATACACATTGCCTTTTTCCATTGCTTCTCAGCAGCTTTAATTTCACCAATCCCTCGCCCCATGGTCCTATTGCCAATCACTTCAACAAGTTTGTTGCATTCAATACACCTTTTGCTCCTGCTGGCTTGTCGTTGGCTGATGACTTTGGCAGTTTGCCCATTCAGTGAAAGTCATTGGATATGACATTGGTCAAATTGGAGGATATGTGCAGCAACTGCCCGGGTGTAGTCTTGATGCTCATCACTTATCACCCATGTTGGCATCCTGCTTCTCAATTCTCAACCAACTCATCCTCTTCCATATCTTCAGCCTCCTCACCCAGTTCTCCTTCTCCAACACCCCTAATTTATCTCGATGCTCCATTTACCAATCTCATTATAAGAATCTTGCTGCGTAATTCACTGCCAGAGCCAGATCCTCCGAAATCACACAGAATTCCCAGACCGCTCCCGGAAAATCCGTTTAACAACTTCTTTGTCGAAACCTATCCAATGAATGGTGTGTTCAAGCTCCCAACAGGGGGCCCCTCCATGAACCCTCTATTAACCCTCTATTCACCTCCCCAAAATACACTTTGCTGTTCCCCGGGAAAACAGCTTCCCACGGCCTTTTGTTGCACTTTCCTTCCTTCTCCTTCTCCTTCCTGATGGAATCTTCAACCTCATGGGTCCGTTGCCTCATGTTCTTGTGTTTCTCTTGAATCCTCTCAGCTTCATCCAGCTCATCTCATTCTCACATTATCCTCATTCTCCACACGCTTGCCATCCTGACATGGTGCCCCACAGCGCTCAATCGCCATGGCAGGTCGTGGTAATACCTCACGCCCTCAAGTCTTCGCAATCCAAGTTCCCATTCACATGACACATAGCTTCCATTCCCATCATGAGCTTCTCCATGTCTATATTCTCCTCAGCCTCCTCATGAAAACAAGAGATTGAGTCTTTGGAATCCCTCTTCATGAAGAAATTTATCTCTGACCTTCACAGGCCACCCCCCAACATATAAAAGGATCCGACCTCTACATGGGAGAGTCTAAGGACATTCCACTGCACTTCTTCTTTGGCATTCAGCTGGAGGGTGCTCTGGAACTACGCCCCTGCGAGCTCGCGCGGATCTATCTTCGCCCGGGATCCGAGTTCACTTGTCAGGTCGTCAGATCTGAGTTCACTTGTCAGGTCGTCAGGTCCGATGTCGGGGGTATGCCAGGAAGGTCAAGATCTGGGCCAAGATGCTCAGTGTTTCACGGGATTCAGGCCCAGACGCGATGGTCTGGACCCTCCGTTCAGTAGGGGTCCGGACCCGAACCAATCCCTAGGGTTTTGAGAGACCAGTCGAGCTGTGAACGGAGCGTCTGGGGGTCATGATTTTGGTGAATGTCCACGATTGCCTGTTTTTGTCCATGTAAATACTGGTCCGAACGTATATTGCTGCTGTATGATGTCCACGATCCCTTCTTTTCGTTCAACTATCGTTCAATTCCAATTAAAGGAATCATATGAGTTAATGGAGAGGTTGAAGAACCCTGTAGACTATCACATAGGTACCCCAGATTGCAAGGTCACGTCAGCAGGTCACGTCAGCGTTGTTTCGCTCGGTCACCGACCCTCGTGACCCTGTAGCGGTCTCTGATAGGGAGGGACCCTATCGCTTCAAAGAAAACACTTGGCCTCCATTTGTGACCTTTTCGGTGAACTTTGCGCACACTTGACGAGATTTTCGCTGCATGCCTGCAAACCCAGGATCAATTCAAGAAAGCACCAATTCAACTGGACGAACTATAGCACGTTGAATATACGATTTGCCCGTAAATTCTGCCACCTCTCAACCGAATAATAGCATTCGTTTCACTGGCGTTTTTTTTCCATCACAAACAACTTATTCTTCAAGTGCTTTCACCAAAAGATCAAAACGATGTTCTTGTCTTCGTTCGCAACCCTACGTAGCTTACCTAGGCGTGGGATGCACAGAATTCAATTTGTACGTTCGTCTGGCTTGTTCATGTCCGGCATGGACGAGCAAAACAGAAGTGTCGTGTCGTTCGCCAGCCACACTCCGTCGGGCTCTCACGGGGCCGAAGCTGGCTCGTCCTGCCTCCGGCACCCGAGGCTCCTGGTTCTGGCTGGATGTGATCCTTGGAGGTCGAAAAACCGTCTCAGCAGTTGCAGCAGTCAACAGGCGGATGGCGGATCCTCCATTTCATACCTTGTGTACCTTGGGACATGTGACATGACCCGAAAAAAACACGGTGGTGCCATGACGTGTTGTTTGTTTCAATTGTTCAAAGGTACTTGGAGACTCCAGGTTTTTGTAAAGTGTTTTCCAATACGGATGAACCTTAAAACTGACCTTCCTTTCATTTCAACCTGTGGACATACGATACTGGTCAGTTCAGGAGTTGCAACTAATTACATTGTAATAGTTGTTATATCATATCAAACATTGTTTTCTTTTTCTATGGTTTCCATAGCTACTCGTACTTGGAGCACACTGTGTTTGCAACCAACTTAAGCCCGCCTGAAGATGTCACATCTTCTCCGAGTTTGACCTATGCGTGTCGGTCGACTTTACTGCGAAATCCTTTCTTTGGGGCCTAGAGGACCAGGTCGAAGATCTCATTTCACTGGACCTGGTCATACAGAAACGTTCCTCACTTAAAAATGGTAAAAACATATAGGTTTTACTTGTTTGGTGCTTTTGTAGGGATACAAGTTAGATGATCCAGGCCAGGTCTGAAGCTGGAAAAACACCTGGACACTATGGAAAGAGCCCCTGACCGACCCTGCGAGAGCGCAGCCTGGGCGGGCGCAGCCTGGGCGACTGAAGACCCCCTGTTACTACAAGGTCACTAGAAGGTTGGAAAAACCTATACATATCTGTACATAGAAGGTGGGATAGTGCTCAATGAAAGGTCAAAACACACAGACATTGGTCAGACCTTATTGGCCAGGATGAAGCAAGAAAGCGAAACCCCTGTCAAGTGCGGAATTGGATCATGGGTTAGATGCACACAATCTAAGGCTTAGGGCCTTTCCACGCGCCTAGCAGGCTTAGGCAGTTCGACCATCCGAACAGAGAGTACTGAAAGAGTGTGAAACACTGAAGTCCGTCCTCATGGGAATATATATAAATCCATATCTCCAATCACCCCTATAGCAAGGTTAGAAGTAAGGACTCGTCGCTTCAGAAGTCGGAACCGTACCCCTTTGGTGCCTCACCACGGCTCCGTACCACGGCCTCCGTTTCCGCCACCGACCACGCGTCCGTTGGGTCCGGCGTCCCAAAACGGTCGTTGGTCCGGGAGCGGCGCTGAAAGGATGGTGGTCTTGATCGACATCTTCGTCTTCCTCCTCGAGGCGGTCCTGGTGAGTGGCATGGATGGCACCGTGTTCCGCTCCGCCAGGCTGGAGGGCGGAACAGGGCAGAAGAGACGGCGGAAGTTCCAAGGGCTTCTTCTCGGTCCCTCTTCCGGGTCGTTCGAACTGGACCGAAATGAGACTGGAGCTCATGAGAAAAAGACTGCAGAAGCTGAAGAATACCCGGAACTGGCCGACCCAGTCGTACCGTATCGTGAAACGGTTCGGTGGGACGACCGGGGCCCGGGTGCCAGGGTCGGGTCCAGGAGCTACCGAACCTGAGGTTCGTACGACGGTTCCGGTGTAGGGATATTCAATACGACTCAATACTCATGAGACCGGTCGGTTCTGGACCAGGAGACCGGTCGGAGTTGAAAGCTCAGCTCAACCAGACCGGTTTTATCAGCCATCAGATAGGCTTCAATAGCCATGCACCCTTGTGAATCAGTGATATATTCTTTGTCCAAGCTATACATAAACCATCATAAACCTGATTCATTGTATAAATCTTATACACCAGGACCATGTCGTATACACCTATCCAAGCTATACATAAGATCTTGATGTTTCGTATAAATAATTCATTTAGTAGATCGGTGGTGTCATGTGTTCCCCATGACCGGTACACTGGGTGGTACAGTGGATGGTACCTCTAAGAGTCGAACAGTGGCAAACACCACCCGTTGTCGTCTTTCCCGTTTGGGATCCAGTCGTTTTTCCTTCTCAGGTTCGGTACAACTGGACCCGACCCTAGGCTGAATAACGTAAGGTTCGGTACGTCTCCTTCCTCACCGTATATATACCCGAGGTTTGGTAACTTGCACCAGGCTCCCCCGCTTGTCTTTGTAGGTACCTCCGCGTGCTACGGCTGCTACGGCTTTTCCGGCTCATCCGGGTCTTCAAACTGACTCGGGAGCTGCTGGGCAAGCAGGAGTCGGTAGCATCCGCGGTCCGTCCGTGGGCGGAGCCATGCTGTGCCGTTGCAGATCATTGGACGGTCCGGACTGAGAAGTTGAAATCTTCCGTGCGGCCGCCTTGAGCTTCTGTTGACCTTGTTTCATTGCAGGGTAATTATGGCTGGGAAAGAACGGACTCACGATATTCATAGACTAGCTGTTGCGAGCCTTGGGGAGAAGAAGACTGCTAACCTGTCTTACTCAGCCTATGGAACCCTTCTTCTTGCAGCATGGACCAATTCACCTGTCTCCACTGGGTTTGCCGACACACTGCCCGTTCTTCAGGCTCACCTTGTTGGCGAACCGCTTCCTTTCGACCCATGCCTTTATGGCCGGGTTCGCGACCGCGTTCGCGACCGTGTTCGTGTGCAAAAAAGAACCTGCAGACAAAGGTGGGCCACACCACTTCATGTGGGAATAGTATGGAAAAATCAGTGCTCTGAGGACATGTCACTTTGTTATTCCAGGTCATGTCCCATTTTCGGTCCAGGTACTTTGATTGAAGAAGGGTCCAGGAAGATGGATTGAAGGAAAAAAGACACACAGATCTGGACGAGTCGCTTGACAACATGTGAAGGACAGACGTGTCACAAAAAGCATGGTGGGACTGCTTATTAATTAGACACAAAACTCTAAAAACCCTAGGGCTCCAAGTACCTCCTCAGGTTCGGTATGACTGGACCCTCCTGGCACCACCTCAGTCCCACCGAATCCACCGCCCGGCCAGCCCCCCGTCCTTTATCTTCCCTAGGGCTCCA